AAAAAAATTAAAAGAGCGCAGACATGAAAAGAAGCGAACCAGGTTGGAGTGAGCGGTTGCGGCGGGCGGTTGCAGAGAGAGTGAGTGAGTGATTGGAACTCTGAAAACGTAAGTGTTGATGGCATCGCCGCCACCGTAGTAGCCGCCACAAAGCTCTACTCAATGACCCTCTCTTTCACTCTCAGACCCTCAACACTCAAACCGCGCTTCCTCTTCCCCTTCTCCTTCTCCTCCTCCTCCTCCTCCTCCCCCTCCCCCTCCGCCACTCACCACGCCCTTCGCCACCACACCCCCTCGGTCGCCGCCCACCCGGAGCTGCTCGTCCGCGTCCTCACCACCGTCCGCCACCGCCCCGCGCTCGCCCTCCGCTTCTTCCGATGGGCCGAGGCCCAATCCGGCTTCAAGCGATCCGAATTGGCCTACGCCGTCATCCTCGAGATTCTGGCCCGCCACGGCCTCATGCGCTCCGCCTACTGCCTCATGGAGAGCCTCGTCTCCGTCAAAATGGACGCCGCCGTCGTCGGCGTTCTCGCTGACGGCCGCGTTTCTTCCTCCGAGGTATCGGTTAAGCTTCTCGATTTGTTGCTTTGGATTTACGCCAAGAAATCGATGCGTGAGAAGTGCTTGTTTGTGCTGTACACGATGGTTAGTAAGGGTTTGTTGCCCGATGTGAGGAATTGCAATAGGGTTCTGAGGTTGCTTAGGGATAGCAGCAACGTGGCGAGGGAGGTTTATACTGTTATGGTGGAGTGTGGCATAAGGCCCACAACTGTTACTTTTAATACTGTCTTGGATTCCTTTTGTAAACAGGGGGAGGTTCACCAAGCAATGCAGCTTTTGCTTCAGATGCAGAGCATGGGTTGTACCCCAAACGACATCACTTATAATGTTTTGGTCAATGGTTTGTCTCTCCAAGGGGAGTTGGAGCAGGCTAAGGAGTTGATTCAGGAGATGCTCAAGTCGGGCCTCAAGGTTTCGGCCTACACGTATGACCCCTTGATTCGTGGCTACTGTCAGAAAGGGCTCCTTGATGAGGCCTCCTCCCTTGGGGAGGAGATGTTGAGTAGGGGCGCCGTGCCGACCGTGGCGACCTACAATACCATTATTTATGGCCTTTGCAAGTGGGGGAGAGTGAGTGATGCTAGGAACTTGTTGGATGTTATGGTGGACAAGAATGTGGTGCCGGATTTGATTTCGTATAACACTCTGATTTATGGTTACAGCAGGTTGGGAAACATGGCGGAGGCTTTTCTCTTGTTTGTTGAGCTGCGGTACAGGAGTCTTGTGCCAAGTGTTGTGACGTATAACACGCTAATTGACGGTCTTTGTAGGTTGGGTGACTTGGATGTTGCTAGGCGGCTAAAGGATGAGATGATCGAACATGGGCCTAGTCCTGATGTATTTACTTTTACCATTCTTGTTAGAGGATTTTGCAATGTGGGGAATTTGCCAATGGCTAAGGAGTTATTTGATGAGATGCTGCGGAGAGGATTGCGGCCAGATCGTTATGCGTATATAACTCGAATTGTGGGTGAGCTGAAGCTCGGTGACCCGTCTAAGGCTTTTGGTATGCAGGAAGAAATGCTAGCCAAAGGCTTTCCTCCTGATCTGATCACGTATAATGTCTTCATTGATGGGCTCCACAAGTTGGGCAATTTGAAAGAAGCGAGCGAACTTGTGCAGAAAATGCTCTACAATGGACTTGTTCCAGATCATGTAACATATACTAGCATCATCCATGCTCACTTGGTGGCTGGGGATCTTAGGAAGGCTAGAGTGGTGTTCTATGAGATGTTGAGCAAAGGGATATGTCCTTCGGTTGTCACTTACACAGTTTTGATTCATTCATATGCAATTAGGGGAAGGTTGGAACTTGCTATTTTGCACTTCTTCGAGATGCATGAGAAGGGTGTGTATCCTAATGTGATCACCTACAATGCTTTAATCAACGGGCTTTGCAAGATGAGAAAGATGGAACAGGCCTACAATTTTTTTGCAGAAATGCAAGCAAAGGGCATTTCTGCAAATAAGTATACTTACACTATTTTAATAAATGAGAACTGTAACTTGGGCCGTTGGCAGGAAGCTTTAAGGTTGTATAAGGAGATGCTAGATAGAGAAATTCAGCCTGATTCATGCACACATAGTGCACTATTGAAGCATCTAAACAAAGACTATAAATTGAGGGCAGTTCAGCATCTTGAGAATGTTATTGGAGGCGGTGAATAAACTTACTATGTTAGGATGAAGGAATGGTTATTTGTTATTCTCATTTTGGCATTCCCGCATGGCTAATGAGTAAAAGATGTCCCTGCATTTGAATGGGTTTTGCCATTTGAGGTGTAAATTCTCCGGACAGAATCATGTATATTTTTTGACACTCTCGGTAAGAATGCTCCCTCTTTCTCCTTAGATACATAATGCCTTATATAACTACTATATTCTTGTGGCCCTGATACATTTTCTAATTTGTTACAGGTTCAAGATGCCTATGGTGTCCTTGATGATTAAGATGGGTAGACTTCAACTGTTTTAACGTTTTCACACGTTATATCATGCACAATTTATCAGTTAAGATTCAAATATCTGTGATGTTATACTCCAAGGCTAGAGGTATACAGATGAAGCTCAATCCTTTGTCAAGATATTTCAAACAATTTTTTGACCTAATCATACACCATTATTTATTCATTTTTCTTAGTCTTTTTGAGGGGAACATTTTGATGCAACAGTGCATATTCTTTGCATGATAGTTTTGATTATCTTTTTAAACCTAGTGATACACTTTTTTGTTTTCCATCACAATTTGTATAATGAATGGAAAATAAAAGTTAGAAGTCTTCTAGTTCTATACTAGGTAGACTTTGAATGCACAGCAACTTTCTCATCATTGTATTGTATCTTCCTATTCACAATTCACTCACCTTTATCAATAAATTCATTTTTACTTTTATCAGTTACATTCTACAGTTAAATTCTCTGTATATCATTTCCTGTAATTGAGGTCCTTCCCAATGATTCTAGTTTAATGTTATTGAGAATGGAAATACATAAATTAAAATAAGTAATACATTCAGACCAATTAGTATGGGATATTGAGATGAAGCTGTATTCAAGCTTTATTCCCTGGAGGGTTCTCAACAAACACACACTGCATGGAATTTTAACACAACATCTAAGTTATGAGGTCATTTAAAAAGGAAAATGGAAAATGACTTTGTAGTGTGTTCATTTGAATAATTGAATTGCTTGCTAATTTATGATGTTTTCAGAGGCTACTTTATATTTTATTTATGATTGACTAATTTAATACAATTGTTTATTGTAAAGTCAAAATTTAAGTTTATCATCAGACAAGCAAAAATTATAATGGCCTAAGCTTGTTAGAGCAGAATCATTTGTGTCCATGTTCTGAATTTGATTCATTTGTCTTAATCTATACTAATCAAACTTTTGTTCATCATTTTCTTTTTCTAATTTTCTATTAATGGTAAGTTGTCTTTTCTGTGCATATTTTTCAAGGAAATCTCTTGTTAAATATATTGACTGTACATTTTATTTTTGTTGCTTTCATTAGTTGGGAACTTTATATGAATGTGTTCACTTCAGTATAAGTGAGCTTTGTAGGGATTTTCTTTCCCTTTTGCTATGATTCTTCATTAGATTGAGAACGAGCTTTGAACATCTATCTATCAACTTTGTAACTTTATAAGATGAAATAAAGATTGTGGATGATATTTCAAAACTGATAGTTAAAACTTCATTTCATCTAAAATCAATAATAATAGATTGTTAAAAACTTGTTATTGGTGAAACTAAAAGTTGTAGAACAGGGAAAAATGTCTTTTTAGAGGCTCATTATAATTGTTCACCACTGTTTAGAGTTTGTTTATATTAAAGTGGATTGAAGTATAATACATATTCATTTTAAAGGAAGGAGGGGGGGGGGGATAAAGTGTAATTTTAAAAATAAGAGGAGATAGTAATGTATTTTAAGCATAGCTCAGGGTAGTGAGTTTATTAATTTTGACCTGTACACTATCGTTGAATCATATTTTTTCTCATCAGTCATAATTAAGAGTTTCACCTCTTCAAAAGCTTTTGTTACAGTCAAGCTTTTTTAACAAGTGGCAACATGATTGAATGAAAGTATTAAATAGTTTTACAATGACAATGGATGAAAAATTTAGTCCTTTTTAAAAAATTTTCCTAGTCACACAAACATCACCTTTGATCAAACATATCTTTTATGGATATAGAGTGATTTGGGACTTTAAGTATTTGATATTTTAAAATAATGCATTTCAGGATTTGACTGGATATATTGCCACTTGGTGAGCATATTCTCTACCAAAATAAATTTAGGAGTATCTTTAACATAGAAATTAAAATGCTGGGAGGTATTTTTATTAATTCCAATTCTATTTATTGAGGAGATTAAAATTTGTATCATTTATGCTTACCTTAACAAGTTTTATCTGCATACTGAAATGATAAGACATAAGAGGGTGTATGTAATTCAAAATTTTCTGTGAGGGGAGGTGTTTCTAGGTTTTATTTTTAAAACTAAATGAGCTAACTCCTCGATGTTGCACTTAGCATTGCCCCTGAAAGCCGATGCCTTGGAAGATGATACTCTCAAAGATGCTTTACTTGTTCTTTTTGGTCAGCTCATCTAAAGATAGCCCTTTCTGTGACATCCACAACCAACTATGATGACAAATAATAAGCACCTAAGCTCTGCAGGTAGCTCTTTTGGGTCATTTACTCATTTATATTGATTTGCACCTATACAGTTGTGAAATTGTTATTAAAGAATGTCAGGCCTTTTGTCTCATCAAGATTCTGTCCAAGTCTGCAACTTAGGAAGGGTTTATCCCCAAAGGTATTTAGGAAACATATTTTGAAGGGGAAAGCTCAAGCTACTTCCAAAAGGTGTTTATTTTTCTTTGAAGCACAAATTCATTTTCAATGAAAAAATTGCTCAAATTTTTATTCAAAAATTCCTTTCCATTTTTACTTCTAAAAGTTAGGATTTCTTTTTTTTTTTCTTCTTCTTCTTCTTCTTTTTTTTTTTGCAATTGAGTGGTTATCATTTTAAAAAATGTTTAAAAGTTTGATTTCACTCCAGATTTTTCCCTCATTAAGTACACCCAAGTCGACCTAGCATGGTCATCAATAAAGTTGATGAACCATTGTTTACCCGATGGGGTAGAATTTCTACTAGGTAACCAAACATCACTATGGATGATGGATGGTGAAGGGGCCAGACTCATTGAAAGGTTGAGGCAAATAAGGGGAGCCATGATGTTTAGTCAATTGGCAAGTTTCATTACTCAAAGAAGACATTTTTTATTTTTTTAAATTAGGAAAAAAATGTTTCATATAGTTGAAACTTGGATGGCCTAGCATATAGTGCAATAACATAATTTCTCTATCCTTAAAACAAGAGTATGATTGAGGCATGTGCTTTGATTTAGTCCACTCAAGTCAGTTGAGTGTTATCAATGGCAGATCATGGATTATAGTGGCAAGCCAAAATCCGCCACAAAAATATGGTGGATGATGTTGTGGGATATGGTGAAAGCATGTCAGCCAAAATAAAATTATAACACACACACACACACACATATATATATGTGTAAAAAAGAATAAAATTGCAATGTAGAAATAACAAAACAGCCATAAAACAAATAATAAGGTAGAATTCACATATTATAAAATGACAACAAAACACCAAGTTCGAGACTTCACATAATTAGAAAAGAGTAATGCTACATCAACAACAAAAAGTTGTGCAACAACTTGTACAACATCATTTTTGTCTCTCTCTCCATCGTTTCATTTATAACAAAATATCAAGTTCAAGACTTCAAACAACAAAATGTTCATAAATCAACACAAATCATAAGGTAAATAATGTCTAATCCTCTGCCTCTTCCTCAATCCCATCATAATCACTATCATTTTCATTTTCCTTGTCATCTAGTAAGACATCTTTCCTCTTCTCCTTTAGATTTCTTAAAATTTAACAATTTTCATTGTCCTCAGACTCGGAGCTCTCAAATTTTAATTCTTCATCAATTTAAACCACTTTCTCTTTCCCTTTTCCTTATTGATGTTGAAGTTGCAGCTGGGCCTTTTTCAGGAGTTTGGGCCTGGCTACCTCTAATAACAACACCACTACATGATGGCTCCTTTCTTTTTTAGCTTGTTGTCCTCCTATTATAGATTATAGGCTTTCCAACTCCTAAAGCTTCATAAACAACTGCCCAATTCATCGTGGTATCATTAGCGAAAACTAATTCATTCCCTGCATCTTCATTATGATGATCCACCTCCCCCACTAACCACTCATTACACTCATCAATGTCATTGAGTGCAATGGGGTCAATTTAATCTATATCTTTGCTTGAGCAGTTGGTTGCATTTGATGTAAACCAAATCATGCAACTTTGTGTGGTCTAGCCTATTTCTCTTTTTTGATTGAATCTGCATTATAATAAATACATGCAAAGGGTTATTCGACTTGAGTGCTTGACCATCACAATAAATTAAAAATAGTAATGTTTACTTTCTCAAAGAAACTCCAAGTGTGCTCACATCTTCATGCACTGCATGTCAAATTCAAAATAATAACTGCTTCCAGCATTGCGGCTGCCATGCTATAAGCCACACCACTGCTTTTCTATGATGGTTTGGAGAATTTCTGCCACTGCAATAATACGCCATGGCCGCTATTTGATAACAATGAGCCACTTTCATCTTCAAATATGTAGAGTCTATTGATCTTTCTAGCATTGGCAATCAACCTCTCTGAGTTCAATTCCTGAAACTTAGGACTAGAGGAATTAAACATTGCTCGACAATTCAAATCAAGTGTAATTTAACTGAATACTGATAAAAGTAAATTACATGACAAATTAGGCACATCAAGGACATTATTAATAGTTGGTGATGGAGAGAGAGGTGTTGGTCCTATTTCAGCTATTGCATAGGAGCCATATGCAACTTTGATTTTTATGTTTCCTGCACATGGTTTATAAGAGGAAAATTATTTTGAACAATTTGTCATGTGGTCAGTGGCACCAGAATCAACAGCCCAAAATGGTTGAGATTTTTTCTGAACTAAGAAGGATAGCAATTGACTGATTGCTATTTTGGGCAAACGAACAAGAGGGATTAACTTTCATTTTGGGGAAAATGGGTTTATACATGTGCACCAATTGTTCCTTTGTGAAAATAGTTGTCTTAGTTGTAGATGTTGACTCTTTGGTATCTTCAAAGGTGGTTTGGAATGCATTCTCTTTGCTAATAAATTTCTTCTGGGTTTTTGATCTGTGTCAGAGCCTCCAGTTTGCAGGTCTGTGAAATCATTCTTTGGAGGTGGGGTCAGTTTCACTTGCATTTGTTGAAGATAATGAATTGGCACCAGGCATTGCCAATTTCACCATTGGAGAAAGCAAGGTTCAGAGCCGAAGCTCTGATACCATAATAGAGCAGAGAAGGAAATATATTGCTTCTCTTATTCATATTGAAAAATACAGACAGATTAAGTCCCAAAGGGGAAACTAAATCTGCTGCTATCGGGAAAAAAAAAAAGTCAGAAAGCAATAAACAGCCTATTATCTAATATTTAATCTTGATTCAGATTTTATTTAAATTTGATTCTGAAGAGATTTATTACAAAATCTAATCAGGACTTAAATTGAGAAATAATAGATAGAAAAATTAAGGAAAACTTGAAACATATAATCTGCTTCATAACAAAGCCTTTGTACCTTGAATAGCATTTTTCAGAAATTTTCAGGGTTTTTTTTTGTCACCTTGTTATGTAAGATAGTTTATTTTGATTTGAAAAATAAAATTTGCAAGCATTTTTGTTGCAGCCATTATGTAGTCTAGCCATCGATAAATTAGAATATTTTCATTAATGGAAACAAAACCTTAGTATTTATGTTGTAGCCATTATGTAGTCTAGCTTTCTTTTTGTGAACCTTGGTGCAACGGCAGGATTGCTATCTTGTGAGCTAGTGGTCAGGCTCAGTCACAGGTTCTTGGCATGGAAATAGATCTAATTGTTCGTGGGGGTTTTAGTATTACTTACATCTAACCCTCACCAAACCCGCACCATATTATGACTTACGCTGCTTATTAGTTAGAGCTCCATCCAAACAATCTTATTGAAGGTAATGAGCCTTATCCAGTTATGTCTAGTAATTTTATCAGTAATTAATGCAAGAGAACTAACTAAAGTACATTTATTTGATAGGAAAATAATTTTTCATTGAATCATAGAATGTGTCTGCTATGGGGAATGACATACCTATCTTCAACTGTTCTCAATTGTGAAAAGCATAAGATGACTGATTGTTTTCATGCACTTTCAATTTGTCTGTTGCAACTAAGGCTGTCAATTTTGAAATGCTATCTTACAAATGGAAAAAGGGGGAGGGGGGAAGAAGGAAACACATGTAAATGATGTAGGTAAATTACGGGTCGTAACATGAGTTGAATGATCGTGGCTTTACATGTATGTATGTAAGCATTTGCAGCCCCACTAGTATCAGCCTCGCTTGGTGATATTTTCACAATGCTTAAACAAAGAAATAGAGAACTCGGGCTTGAATTTGAACCACTTGCCTTCTCACCTAGTAGAGATTAAACTCGAATACTCACTTTGCAATGGAGTTTTGCAGAGAACAACAGGTGTTGTGTAACGAAGATCAACAATGGATTGAGGAGTGAGTACTAGTCGAGTAATGGAAAAGAGACTAACATAAGGTTTCCACTTAAATTGTGGGTCCCAGGTTGTAGGTTACTCAGTTCTCCTCGTCAAAGAGAGTTGCAGGTTGCCTAGGTCGTGAAGATTGGTGATTTCACTGATTCCATATTACGATTGGTTAGATGATGTTGAAGACCTGGAAATTAAACTGGGTGTTTCAAGATTGATGGCATGAACATGGGGGTGAATGTTGGACATTAGGTGTTTGAATCAAGAGTGGGTGGCTTTTGAATCAAGGTGTTTGTTGGACATTAAATTAAGAGTATTCAAATGTGACTTAATGTCGTCTATTCCCATCTTCATTCAAATCACGTTTGTTATGGAATTTTGATAGTATACTCTTGCAACGTACGGCTAAATTTTTTTTTCTTTCACGCATTTGTAATATGAAATTAAATATCAGTATTATATTGTATATGAAATAATAGAGTACAATATGATGTTATTGAATCTTAAGTTAAACAACATTATGTTAAAAACCAATATTTAATTATATTAAATAAAAAGGGCGCCTAAATACCAAATGTAATTAGTGTACACGTAATACAATAATAATTTGTTACGGGAAAACATAGCTAAATAAGAATCTAGCGAGTCTAAACATAATACAATAGTAGTTTATTCCGGGAGACCATTATAAAACATAGTATACTTAACAATTAATACATAAATATTTCCTTAAAATTTCATACAAAGGTTTCAAGCTTATGTTGATTCGGATGCATTTTCTTTGTCCTATGAATTAAATTAGAAAGTTAGTTTAGTATAATTTTTTTTTTCTGAATATAAAATAATGTAACTATATCACCTTTTCATAAGAGATGATAAAGCTTGGCATTAGAGCAAATCCAATTTCAATACTTTCATTAATAGTCAAATATTTTTAATCTCATTGATAGAAAATACATATGAATTAAAATATTATATATATGAATTTAATTATTAAATTTCCAATTTTTTAAAATTATATATGTACTTTTCAAGTCACAGAATTGTTGGAGCTTTAGATTGATTAAAATATTAGTTATTTTATGTGCACTTTGAAGTGAAATCTCATTTGTAAAACACATTATTAATTTTACAAATTATTAATTTCTGAAAAATAGAAAATAGAAATTAAAAGATGACTTAATTTACATGTCTATACTCCAAATAAAAGACCACGATATGGGCAAATTTTTTGTAGATTAGAGTGCTATAATAGGTAGATCATCTTATTAATCATCATAATCAATTTGTTTGGATGTACATGAACTTAACTACATACACTCAATTTGCATACAACATAAAAAATTTAGAGTGACTATAATAATTGGTTTAGAAAATAAGAATATATATATATATATATATATAGCAAAAATCATGCATCA